CTAAAATGTTCGTACATTATTGCAAGAAAAAGTTGTTCTCCAAGGGCGATTCGAAAAAGGGCATCTCATATGAACGGATAACTCAGGTGTTCACTTAAACCAGTGCACCTCATTGGATTTGACAGACTCTAATTTCCAGTACAGTTCTTTATCATGATAGATGTCGAGCCTAGTGAGTAAAATTCCTGTTGTTTCATTGGGACTGCGTCAAATGTGCTTACTATTTCGAAAAACATGACAAGTCATGCAGTTGGCTTTGTTTTGTGTATAACTGGGTAACCACTTATTACAAAATGTACGTTCGGGATGCCTATTAAAGTTATTTGCGGTCTAGAGGAGTTCTAAATAACGAATATATATTTTTATGAATTGTCTGAAAACATTATCTAGTAGCATTGTGACACTAGTACAAAAATTAGTTTTCCAATGTGATTGGAAGTGCAAGCTGTCAGATGGTGGTCGCTGTCATTAATACTGTCATCTAAACCGAATCCTGGACCATTTTTGCTTCGTATTTCACCGAATTATTGACTATTTCCCAAAGCGAACAATTTCTGTTTGGCATCCATCCTGGAGGTTTCTGTTTCTGAGAGGGTACTGTCTATCTTGGAAGTTAAGTAGCTTATAGCTTTTTATTGTGAAAGTATGTGGAATATTGTGTTCTTTTCAAAAATTATAGCGGTGTATGACAGAGAATCGCCAAACAAATCAACTTCGGACATAGATACCCATATATCACGAGTGCGTTTATATAAAAATGTGAATATTAATCCAAATGTCGCGTAGGTTCCTTATTGTCCAATCCCTTCCATTGTATGCACCTATTTGGCTGACTTGATCTATTTAATCCCTTTGTTATACGAGCGTATCTTCTCCGAACTATTGACAGCGTTGCGTGGGAAGCGCAGAGCCAACCTACGAGTAGTTAGCACCATTTCTTGCGTGGAAAGCGCGCCGGCCGATATTAAGTACTCATGGGTCACTTTATCTATGATTACATTAAAGTTTCCCAAGTTCCGAGCTTTTCACTTTGTGTCAAGTCAAAATAGCAGGACTACTCTCTCCGCCATTCAGCAAACCTTTTTGTATTAATAACGGAGCTTCCTAATTAAACTTTGAGCAAGACAGGCAATAAGCAATAAATTAGGCTTAATTTATTTTCACTAAGAACATGACTCGCAGACTAGAATTACGTATTTATAAGGGGTGTAAGCTTCGTGTTGCTGTGGATTAATTGCATTACATGTATAATCCATCACCTACGATTAGGTGGAGATTGTACCGGTAATAAAACATAGCCAATCTGATTAGTGAGGGAATGACAATAATCTGATATGTTTTATGCCATCTGTTCGATAAATCTGGGTACAAATCAACAAAAAATGTAATCATATTCTATTCAAAACTCATTTACTCTGCGCCAATAGGCCTGTGCAATCATTCACCGCGTTGCTTATTTTCGCTTGTCGCTGCCTGCGGATTTGAAGGTTGCGCGCTGGTGGTTTCAACGGAGACTGAATGATTAAGTCATCGTTGGTTGTCAGAGCGGTCCGTGGGACCTTAGCTCTTGAGTCACAGTGTCAGTTTGTAAGTCTGTTAGGTCTGGTAACCTAGAAACCAGACAATTTTAAGGAAAAAAGGGAAGGAAAGGAGAGAAGGAAGAACGAGAGCAAAGGGGAAGAAGATAATGTCTTAGGATAGGCAGCGTTTAGGCATTGTTGAAATCACTTCACAGATTTTGATATGGTCTAAAAATATTTGATTTTTTTCTAAAGGTTTTTGTCAAAATGCACCAATTTTGGTTGTTTTAAGTTCACGAGTTAATTTTGATTACAGTGCGAGCCGCGGCCTTTTGTGCTTGCGAACTTGGTCGACTGTGTAGTCCACTGACTCACGCAACAGAGGGTTGCTGTGCGATTCTGCCAGGCTATAGCGCCGCTGCGCCTGTTGCTTAATGTAGGCCTTTAGCTAAGGGACATCGAGGTCTCTATGTAGAGTTTCGTTAGAGACATACCAAGGGGCATCAGCAATAGTGCGCAACGTCCGGCTTTGCAGAACCGGCAGATTTCGCATATGTGTTTTAGCGATAAAACACCAAGCCGCACATGCGTAAGTTATTGCTGGTCTTATGACCACCTTATAGAGTCGAATCTTGTTAATCAAACTTAATTTTGAACGTTTACATAATAATGAGTAAAGCTGTCGAAACGTGATTCGGAATTTAGCTTTTAGCGCTTCTATATGGTTCCGCCAAGTCATCCCTTTGTCCAGAATGGCACCGACATACTTAGCGGAGGATTCCCATGGTATATGAAGTCCATTTATTGAAACTTCAGACGGAACGCCGCGACGTCTTTTTGTACAGTAGATTGCCTGCGTTTTCGAATGGTTTATTTTAATTAGCCACCGATCCGACCAAACTAATACTTCCTCCACCGCACTTTACAGCCTGTCATGGACTAGGTCACCAGACCACCAATGAGCCACCAATGCAGTATCGTCAGCATAGAGATAGACTTTACAGTTGCTGGGACTAGGGACGTCATGGATGTACAGTGAGTAAAGATTAGGTCCAAGGACCGAACCCTGAGGGACGCCGGCTGTAATCAGCCGTGTTGTCGACACGACATTGTCAATTTTGATCCGAAATTTCCTACCTTCACGGAAAGATTTCAGTAGTTTTAGAACCCAAAGAGGGAAGCCCTTTTGGATTAGTTTATACAAGAGGCCCGCGTGCCACACCTTGTCAAATGCTTTTGAGATATCCAAAAGCAAGATGCCAGTACTTTCATTAAGGGTGAATCCTCTGGTTACACGTTCCACCAGCCTAACCGCCTGCAGCTCCGTACTATGTTCAGACCGAAAACCGAATTGCACGTCAGGAATCACATGGTGATCTGACGAGAAATTCTCAAGGTGTCGTAGAATCACCTTTTCAGCGAGCTTAGACGGAGCTGACAGCAGGCTAATGGGACGATAATCCTGGGGAAATATCGAACCCACCTTCTTTGGAATCATTATAACTTCAGCGGTCTTCCACGCGGATGGGAAGTACTGGATCCTTAGCATGACATTGACTATTGCCACGAGATAAGTTAAGGACTTCCGCGAAAGCGCTTCAGCACCTTTTTAGTGATTTGATCCTCTCCAGGTGCTTTACGCACTTTAAGGTCTTCAATATGACCTTGATTCTCTGTATGCAATGCGGGATCTCAGGAGATGCCCCTGATATGCTAAGCAGATCTTCGGTTGAAGAACCTTCTGAAGAAGAATCTTCTGATGAAGAAAAATCACCAACGACAGCGCGACTGTCACTGACGCCGTTGGCCCTAAACTATCTCCTGACAGATCTTACGATGTGTTGCTCCTCGTCGAGGTCATTAACAAGATAATAGTTGGGAGAGTACTGTCTGCTGTCAGAAAAGGTCTGCCGTGTCGCTGCACGGGAAGTACAGCTGCACGCTGCAGAACTTGCTGAACAAAACTTGTCCACTCTGCCTGAGCCGCATCTATACCGTTCTCATCATCGATGATCGGAATATTGGGGAACTCTCTGAGGAGCGACTTGTATAGCTCCCAATCAATGCGTTACCTTGGAGAGGTTTCATCCCCCAAGATCTGCTCATTACCCACTTCCAAAACGATGGGAAGATGATCGCTTGAGATGTCATACATGATTCGAGAAGTGATACTGTATCTACAGTTTTTGGATAATGCTAAATCAAGAACATCATGTGCCTGAAGGTGGTAGGTACTATGTATGAGGTAGCCATTTCGTATCACATGGTGGAATGCAACCTAGAAGGCCATGCTCGATGTTTGCAGTTGAAGTCCCCTGCCACAATAAGTGGACCCGAGCGGTCTAAAAGGACTTCCAGATCCGCCTCTTGCAGCCTGATACCACACCTGACATACACCGATGTGATTTTTAACGGCACACCTTCTATGGTAGTCAATACCGCGTTTCACTAGCACTGGCAAGCCGCCGCCCCGTCCAGTCAATCTATCAGCCCGGATAAGATCGTAATTCGGGAAAGCTAGATGATCTCCCGGATTAAGTAATGTTTCCTGCAGCAAGGCCACATCTATACTTTCGTCCACAAGAGCTTGATGAAATCCCCTTTTTGGGGTATGTCCATTAGACCCTAACAATTCCAAAAAAGAATTTTGATAAATGCAGGCTGTCGTCGATTGTACCTAGCCATTTGCAGGAAAGATCGCCTGCAAAGCCTGTGTTGCGCTAATCAGAGGACCTATGATCTGTTGTAAGGACCTTAGCGCGGTTGCCAGGTCCACATTTTGCGTGTTCGCAGAAGATCCCACAGAGCGGGCAGCCCGGTTTGCATCCCTAGTTGCATCCGCGTAACTTACATTGCGCCTTTGCGCTATCACTTGCAGATTTTTCTGAGGGGCAAATCTGCAAGTTTGGCTATTCGCCAGATGCCCCCCTCCACAGTTCGGGCACTTTGTTCCTGTTGTTCTGTTTGAGGGCATATGTGGGTCATGTGGTCAGCAGCACATTTTAGACACTTAGGTGGTGCAGTGCAGTAAGATTGCGCATGCCCATATTTTTGGCAGTGGTGACACTGCCCGATGAGTCTTGAGTTCTTTTGAACTTCGACTTGTATATCCAAACCTAGCAGCTCATGTTCGTTGAACAGCTGCTGAGATTTTTCTATCTTGGGCAGTATGACTACCACCAAAGGCTTGGGTACGCCGCCACCGCGTTTCCTGCAATGTGGTATCCAAAATGGTAGCAGCTTAGCATCAACCATTTTTCGTTAGAACTACAATACGCTAAATTCTCGAATTTTCTATAAATGCTCTAATTTCGAATGTATTTAAAGGAAAATCCAAATGCATCAAGACTTCTAGAATCAATCAAATTGATATAATTCCAAGTGATTTACAGATCTAACTTATTTGATGCGATTTTTCCAAGCCAATAAGCCAATAAGAAGCATTGTAATCTCGGAAGTTTTCAAATTTGATATATTGTGTCAGCGTATGTTTGGTCGTACGGTCAGAGAAAGAGAGGGATAAACTAAAATAAATGGAATTAAAATATAAATATGTCGTTGAATTCCGATTTAACGTCGAAAAATACATAGGAATACCATGCTCCAGCATCTGGTACCCAAAACTCAATTTTCAACCCCATTAGGGGTGGTTTTTGGGTCCGGGGGTGAACGTCAAGGGTGTAGGAATCTTTAAAACAATGAAATTCGGTTTCAGTGATTTTTCGATGTTATATGACATGTGTATCACGGAAATCCATGTCACTCATTCACGTCGCTTTATCGGTCTGTCCGTTAATCCTTGAACAGCCTTGATAACAAAACAAAAAAAAATCTTTTACAAAAAATAATAGGGGTAAAAACCTGTTAGGGCTGCTGGTAGACAGCGTATCTCAGTGTTTTATGGGAATATATTAACACACTTCCATTTGTAGATTTTTCTACCAAAAACTGTATAATTTCAAGTCTTGTTATAGAAATCGTAATACGAGTACTTGCGAAATACTACAAATAAAAAATAAGAAATACAGCTGTCTTTTGTCTCCAAATTACAACTTTGTAGTTGCTGTAATCGCGGTGCGCATGTACGAGTATCACCCGAATGTTGTAAAACCCAGTGGAAATAAAAAAAATACAAGCTAATGTTCTGTTCATTATTTTGATGCCTGCATACTTACAACAATGAATAAAAAAGGATAACGGATAGCTGTTTTAGACATTTGCTAAAATAAAAAGCGATTACAGGAGCTACACAGTTGTAATTTGGCCACAAAAGATTTTTTTGTCGTTTTTCGCAAGTATTACGACTTCAATGACAAAACTTGGAATTATTCAGTTTTTTAGTAAAAGGAACCTACAAATGTTATACTATTCTTGAAGAGCTAAAGCTAAAGGTTATTTGCTACTACAGTCTGGTACATTTTTTCATGGTAATTAGTAAAGCTTTAGTAAAGGTTCTCGCATTGAAACCAAATGTAATAATCAATTTTTTTAGCATACCGTGCTAGTTTTCAATGAAATGAATACTCGGTATTCTCCACCAACTATAAATGGTAGCCCAGGAAAAAATGATTAGCTAGAAGTTCTTTATAGCCATAACAGGCAGGAAAAAAGCAAAAAGAAGGGATTTCTTGGAAAAACTTAAAAGTGCAATATCTCGAAAGCTAGTAAAATTTTACTTAGGTCATGTTGATTTTACCTGATTGATCTGAAGCCAATCTGAGCGTTATGCTTGTGGTGGAATTCAATGATGTTATTTTTAATATCGTGAGTATTGTATTGTATCAAAGCGCTATTATAATCAGAATCGGCGGCATGTAGCGGCCACAGTGGTGAAACGGCTGACAATGCGAACTGGGTTAGAGCTCCAACAGTCACTTTCATGTTTTCGGTTTCGCAATCGATTTTGGTTATAGATGGCGCTTTGTGGTGACTTACAGTATAATCAGTTATAGTGCATTGTTTACATGCGATTTCACTGCAGAGCTCCAAAGAAATGATGCTCCCTTTTACCTACATATACAATCACTCTTGCAATCTGAGGAATTTTGTTTTAATGAAAAGCTCAAATAGCGCATTACAGATTCTGACAAGACCTACGTCTTTTTGAAGTCTTCGAGCTACATGGAAAATTTTTTTGTGTTGTGCTACTCGAGGGTTTGGATATTATTTCATGACATAAAAATGTGAAACGCTCTGGACGCCAGCAATGTGGCATGCTATTTTTACAGTGTGTCATTGAGTTATCACGACTGCTTTTTGCATCATTCTCTATATAACATGAAACAATACAAAGTCAACTTAATGTTCATTCTGCATATACCTACAAAGCCGTACTTTCAAACTCCGCTAATACTACAGCGAAAACTTTGTCAGTTAAGCATCTTTCATCTCATTTTCAGTTCTAAGATCTGGCGAATAAGTACGAATAAAATTCTGGCCCACCTCTTCTTCCTGCCTTAGAAGTTAAGGATGCAAAAGGACATGAGACAAGTTATAAAACAGATTAGGCGTCTCAAAAAGCCATTTAGGAAGTTGGGTGAACCGTGCGCCGGCTGCTTCTTTTTATAGTTTTAGAAGTTCTATATTACCGGGCTGAAGTTTAGTCAACAAAACTGCGACTCGTGTTTGGAGGGGCAAAAAAGTGACGCGTCGACGCCGGTATATCCTGGAGCAATGTTGCTACTCCAGGCGATTTCAGACTTTTTGGTATCTTTCATCTTTGATTACGAGAAGTGCTAAATCTGTATCCCATTCATATAAGTTTGTCAAACTGGTTACTAGTTGAAAGGACTGGAACACCCGCGGTGTGGGTATCTATTTCCGAAGTTGATTTGTTTGGGGAATTTCCAATGCCGCGTCCGTACGCTTGGCAAACCTCAAAAACTCTCCACAAACCCAAACGTGCGACTATAGCTTTTAACTTGGTTTGTGTATATTTGAAAACGCTTGTAGCTGATCAGATCGAATGTTGGTTTCGGTCTTAAATCAAAGGAGTTTGCCCCAAGCGCTTGTGACGCGTATGTTTGTTCGCCCTCAGTCTCGTTTATACACTGGCGGGCCCAGCTGACCTCTTGTGTTGTACAACTCAACCGAATTTCACTCAGATTAACTGAGTACTTCAGTTCAATTAAATTAATCAATGAGTTAAATCTTTCTAGTTGTTTAATTTCTAGCGTTTTATTAGTATAACATAAAACATACTAATTTCTTCAATAAAATATATTTTTTTTTTGAATAAAATATATAAAAGGTTAACACTATTCCGTAGGAAATAATTTGATATTTAATCTTAATTATTAGTTTCCATCCCTGTCACAAACAGTCAATTATCCTTTCCAGTTGATCCGGATTTTATGAGTCATGCACCACCTTCTTTGCCGTACTTTTCGTTTTCTTTGACTTTGTTTTTAACGTAACAGTGATGCTTGCCACTTCAGAACACAATGACACATTCGCAAACGCGTAGATGGACGTTTGCTTCTTAAAAAAAGCCAAATGTTTGTAGAAGTTTGGAGTTTGCGGCAACTGCCAAGCCTGTTGACGTGGCATTAAGAGCAGTGTTGAATGTCCATGGCAGCGACACCGGCAAGGGCTAGGAAGTACTATCCTCTACATGTACCTCCTCACTAGCCTCGAGTATTGATCACATGTCCGACTGATCAATGACTCTTGCCCATCGGACGGTCTGGGGACCCTTTCGCACTGGTGAGCAGTCGGCGATCTAGCTCTCTTCTACCACTACGCCAATGGACTTTGTTCCTAACAGTTCTCGGATTATGCCGCCACGTGATGTTCCTACCAGACGGACCCGCCTGAATTCGGCCGCCCATTCTAATGGTGTTAAACTTCGTACATCCAGGGAGATTGTGGAAAAATCTACATGAGGAGGTATTTCCCAGTTCTACTAGCCTTAGGCAGTTAAGAAATCGGATTAACAATGTTTCTTTAAGCTCTTCATGGCAGCCGCGGTGCACTGGCATTTGGACTCCTGCCTGCGCGGCTGCTTCGGTGTAAGGAAAATATTCCACACATGTTTATGATAAAGAGGATTGTTCGATGGTAAAAATAATGGACGTTTTAGTAATACGAAAAATTAAGATTTACAGTAATGGACAAAAGTATATAGACAAATTAATATTGTGCTGTATTCCATTTTTAACTTGTTTTATTAATACACCAACCTGTAAACATAATTCGTTATAGCATAGTACTCACTTATACATAAATAAATTCATTAGACTCCCTTCAATAAAAAATTAATTGAAAAGAACTGGAACTATGAAGGACAAAAATATATAGACAAAGCAAAACAATTATAGAAAAAAAGCAAAGATGATTGAATTATAGATAACCAACCATGTTTGTGTTAATATTTTGTAGCATAAGCATTATTATCAATCACCGCCTGGCATCGTCTCGGCATAGATTGTTTAACTCGCACAGGCCGCAAAACTTGGCACTACGGACATGCCGACTGGGAGGGGCTCAGAGACTTCCTCTCTAGCTTTCCTTGTCTGTTTCACTGACGCGGATGCGTCGACTGTCTGTTCTTCAATAACCGAAATTATCCACGTCGGAATGGAGGAATACATCCCTCACACAGTGAAAGTTCCTAAACCAGGGCCCAACGGCTGGTTCAACAAATCGTGTGACACTGCTCGCCAGCAGAAGATCAAGGCCCACAGAACCTACCTACAAAACCCCACTGTAGAGAACAGACAAGCCGACGTCGAGTCCAGAAACAAATATAACGAAGCGGTTCGCAATGCCAAAAACCAGCATGATATAAAAGTTAGGCACAGGGTAATGTCGCAGCGCAATGGCAGTCGGTCTTTCTGGACGCTGGCCAAGCAGATTGAAAAGAACTTCTCACACAGTAGCCTTCCACCACCTACGTGTCAGGATGGAACTATTGTATTCGACTCAAAGGCCAAGGCGGAAGTGCTAGTCAAGATCTTTGCTGCCAACTCCACCATGGACGTTCCACATCAACGCCCAAGTGCCGTCAGTTCAACGGCCTCCCCACACTATGCGGGAGGTAACATTCAGGCATAAGACCGTAAGACGAGTGCTCTTGTCGCTTGACATCAACAAAGCTTCTGGTCCGGACTTGATTCCTGCCATTGTACTGAAGAGATGTGCAGCGGAGCTTGCTCCAGTTCTTTCGCGTCTCTTCCAGATATCTTATGAATCCGGCACCTTCCCAGAAAACTGAAAATTTGCTCAAGTACAGCCCATCCCAAAACAAGGATCTAAGACCGACCCTTACAACTACAGGCCTATAGCTCTGCTTTCTGTTATAAGTAAAGTGATGGAGAGGTGCATAAATCGCGAGCTTCTGGACTACCTCGAACGTCACAGCTTGATTAGCGACAGGCAGTACGGTTTCCGGCACCAACGATCCACAGGGGACCTCCTAGCTTACGTCACGCAACTGTGGAGTAAACTCATCCAGTCTCATGGTGAGGCTCATGTCGTTGCTCTTGACATCACGAAAGCGTTCGATCAGCTGTGGTAAGCTGCCCTCTTAAGCAAACTTCCATCCTACGGTCTCCCAGAAAAGCTTTGCAGATGGGTGGCTGACTTTATATCTGGCCTCAAGATATCCGTCGTAATTGACGGATTCTCTTCTTCATCCCACAACGTCAACGCGGGTGTTCCCCAGGGATCGATCTTGGCTCCAACACTGTTTCTCTTACATATCAACGACCTCCTTTCCTGCACAATCAACCCAATCCACAGCTTCGCTGATGACAGCACTCTACATGCTGGAATTCAGAGTGACAAGCCGATCTCTGCCGCTGAGCTGAAAAAAAGAAGACTAGCGACGACTTCTTCTCTGACAAGAGACCTGGAGGCTATCACTGCTTGGGGACGCAACAATCTTGTACAGTTCAATGCTTCCAAAACACAGTACTGTACTTTGACGAACAAAAAGCGTCCTAGCGCTCATACAGTTTCGATGGACGGTCGAGTTCTACCAAAGAGCCATTCATTTCGGCTGGTCGGAGTCCAGATCACCGAGGACCTGATCTGGCACGAACACATCTCTTCAATAGCTGCAGCTGCTGGGAAAAGACTAGGCTATTTGTTTAGGGCTAACAAGTACTTTTCTCCGCATGACCTTCTCACTCTATACAAGGCCCAGATAAGGCCTAGCCTCGAGTATTGCTCACACATTTGGGGTAATGCAGCCTCGACTACATTGTCCATGCTCGATGCTGTCCAGAGGAGGGCGGTCCGACTGATCGATGACTCTTCTCTAACAGACAGTCTCGGGACTCTTTCGCACCGGCGGGTCGTCGGCGATCTCGCTCTTTTCTATCGCTACACCAACGGGCTTTGCTCCTCAGAGCTCACTTCCATGATGCCGCCGCGCGGTGTGACTGCCAGACAGACCCGCCTGACTTTGGCGTCCCATCCTAACCGTGTCAAACTTCGTACATCCAGGACTGGCCGATACGATCGCTCCATTGTCCCGAGGGTGTCTAGATTGTGGAACAATCTACGGGAGGAAGCTTTTCCCAGTTCTACTAACCTTAGGCAGTTCAAAAATCGTATTAACAAAATTTCTTTGGGATCATCATAGCAGCCGCGGTGTTCCGGCATTTAGGCTTCTGCCTGCGCGGCTGTTTCGATATAAAAAAAAATAAAAGTTTCTTGATATAAGATTATTCATCAATCTGTCTCCACTTTTGCTCTAAAGCTGCAAAAAGTCCATCCTTGTTTGAGTAATTTTTATCTCGTATTTGCTTATCTAAGTATTCCCATAGATTTTCAATGGGGTTTATATCGGGAGACTGTGAGAGCCATCTGAGAACTGGTACTTTTTCATCCAGAAAGAATTTCTTTGCGAGATTTGAAGGTTGCTTCGGGTCATTATCTTCCTGGAAGATTGATATTAAGGGCATATTGTCTTCCATATAGCGTAACATAACTTATCCATAATGCCATCTATTCTATGTAAAGGTCCCATCCCAAATCCCGAAAAGCATCCCCAAACCGTAACAGACCCGCCTCCGTTTGACAGTGGGCAAAGTGTACTTGGAGTTCAATCTTTGTCCACTAGGACGTCTAACGTAATAAACACCACTAATCCAAACATATTGAACTTGGATTCGTCACTGAAACATACCCTCTTACAGTCACAGATGCTCCAATCAAGAAGCAACCGTGCAAATTATAATCGGTCCTTACGGTTTTGCCTCGAGATTAGCGGCTTCTTACTCGGGCGACGTGCAAATAACTTCAAATCATTTAATCTTCTACTTATAGTTTTCGTAGAAACACTGGCAATTCCTTTTGTGTCGATTTCGGCTTTTATTTGTCTTAGGGTTTTAAACGGATCTTCGGACGAAATTACTTTTATTAATCTAACGGATCTAGCATTTAGTTTTCTAGGTCGACCACTTCTCTTAGAGCTTCCAAGATACCTTTTTGTGTATATTTGTTCAATATTGCCCAAACTGCTTTGCGCTTCAGCTTCAAATTTTTGGCAATGCCGACTTGACATTGACTATCTTTGTATAACTCAGTGATCATAGTTTTCACATCGAAAGGAATTTCTGGGCCACGCGGCATGATCTTAAAATCACTCAACTTATTCCACAGTACTTGATGAACACAGACTAACAACTCGTTCACACGATACGGTACGGCACGGGAATTTAACCGAAACGACATTTTAACCGAATCGGGTCCAGTGTTCACACGATGCGGTATAATATTTTTGCGCGGATACGCTTCTTGTCAGTTGTTGATTGAGTTTGGCACAATGAATGCAAATATGTTGGTTTTAATGTATTGGTATCGTAGACTCTGTAAAAAACGAGTAATAAGGAGATATTGGGAACACCCTATTATTAGAGAAAGATTTAATTTGGGGTCCTTCCGGACACTTATGTGTCAATTAAGAAGAGATGAAATTAAATTTTCCAATTATTTTCGGATGTCTTCCTCTACGTTTGATGACCTACTTAATAGAGTGAAAAAAGACTTAACTCGAGAAGACACAAATATGAGAACATGTATCAGTGCTGAGGAAAAATTGGTGATATGCTTAAGGTAGGTGTCATTTTTTAAAAACTTTATTTTATATACAAATAAACAAATCAAAAATTGGAAATATCTAGATCTAAAATAGAATCTTGGCTTGCAACAGACTGTGTAGAGGGTGACGGTTCGGCAGTATATGGACTAGTCATTGGTGTTGTTACTCTTGAAATTGTTTGTGGCTGTGGCTGACTGTAATAATCATGATTTTGCCAATTATTGTAATAAGTGGCAATTGTACGCGATGGCATTTGAATATTATCGGCCAACCTTCGCTTCTTTGCTCTCATATTTTGCAATAAACTTAACACACTCGACTGAAATTCCAAAGTTTCATCTTCATCAAACGATGATAATGATGGAAGAAGACTTTTGAAGAATGTAAGATGACGATTTTCATCCTCTTTGACTGTTGAAACCTTGGATAAGTTGATTTGATGGTCTATGAATCGCATCATTTTGGCATCAACTTCATTAATACTCCTCTTTCTGCGTGCAGTAGAAGTACTGATGGGAGTACTACCAGACTGATTTGCTTCCATATTCGGTTGTTCAGGTGGAACACTCTCTTCAATAACTTCTGCATCCAAGTCTTCTATCTCGGTGTTATTTTCATTATTAGTGTTTTCATGACAAACAGTTGAATCTGTAATTTTTTTCAGGAATGACATCTGCTCATTATATATATAAAGTCTTGAAGGTTTGGTCGATGTGCCACTTGTTTTTTGGTCTTTATGTTTTTTCAATGCTTTCATCCACGAGTCTCGAATGTATGTCCACTTTTTTAAAATCAGCTTACCTGGAACAAATAAAATAAAACGTTCCTTCCTTTCAGGTATCTAGCATCTGGGTGTTCGTATAAAGATCTGCATTACTCCTACCGAGTTGGTGTCTCAACAATTAGCAATATTGTGAGAGAAGTTACTCGGAGTATATGGAATAATATGGGTACTAAATTTATGGCATGCCCTGATACGCCAGATAAATGGGAGGAAATAGCGAATGGATTCTGGATGAAAACGAATTTCCCGCATTGCCTCGGTGCGGTAGACGGGAAACATATAAGACTGAGAAAACCCGATAACACTGGCTCTATGTACTTCAACTACAAAGATTACTTCTCTATTGTTTTATTAGCAGTCGTAGATTCAGAATATCGTTTTATATACGTGAATATAGGGTCCTATGGAAAAGATTGTGATTCGTCAATCTGGAAAGAATCTACATTGTGGAAAAAGTTGACACAGGGCGCTTTAAACATACCAACACCCAGACCTTTAGAACAGACACAAATAAATGTACCCTTTGTGTTTATTGGCGATGAAGGTTTCGGATTGCATGACAATTTATTAAGGCCTTTTGGCGGTACACATTTAGACAAGAAAAAGCGAATATTTAATTACCGACTTACTCGCGCTAGAAGATATGTTGAATGTGCATTTGGCATCTTAGCTAATAAATGGAGGATATTTCATCGTCCTCTAGATGTTAAACTAGAAACAGCAATATGGATAGTAAAAGCGTGTACTGTGTTACATAATTTTGTCCGAGAAAAAGACGGGTTTAATTTTGAAAACGCTCATTTGCCAGAAATCCACCTTGACAACTTACCAAAAGCACAAAATATACGAGGAGGACTATCTGCCAATTCCATAAGAACAACTTTTGCTGACTATTTTCTAACAGAAGCTGGTTCTGTTTCTTGGCAAGATGAAGCCATCGGTTAGTAAATTTATGTATGTCAAAATAAACAATAAAATACTTACCAAAAGCCTGCCTCTCCTTTTGTTCCATATCTTCGAAATTCTCCTTTAACAGAGAACATATCTCTCTCCATGCTGACGACTTTAAATTTTTGTCTTTATATGTGTCAAGTGTTTTATCCCATAAAGCGGGTCTCGCTTCCACTAAACTTATCAACAGCTCCGTATTTATTTTCTCCATTGTATATATGTAGGTATATACCATAAATATGAGCAAACTATTTAAAGCCGAAAACAAGTGCCGTTCGGCAAGATAATCGAATCGCGACTGGAGGTGAAATGGCCAATATACATTGTACGTGCCACTGAAGGCCGATTCGGTTTTTTTCCCGAACACAACCGCATGCGACCATACGGTTGCCAGTGGCGCGAACCGAATGCAAGTCCGAACGAATCGGCAGTTTTCCCGTATATGGGGTACGACCGCATCGTGTGAATATGCAGATTTAAAATATTGCGCCACTGCGAGATTCGATACTTTTACCGGTTCGATTAAATGATCGTGACCGAGTCGTCTGAACGAGCTGTAAGCCTCTTCTGACACGAAACTGTACTAAACTAATGCTGAAAAGAATTTGTCTACATGTTTTTGTTCCTCATAAAAAAGTGCTTATATTCAGACTTGTATTGTGTTCATTGCAGATAATGTAAAAACAAGGAATTTAGTTTTTCTACTAATAACGTATTTGTTTATGGAGCAATGAAGTATAAATTCGTTTTCTACAGGTATTTAGGTAAATATTCATATTTGTCTATATACTTTTGTCCATTACTGAATGTAATAGTACAGGGTGGTCCATAAGTCCTTTGAAATGTCAAATTTGAATAAAATTTAACGGGTGAGCGTGAGCGGCGCGGACGAGGTGGGGGCAGTATCTTCAGTGTCTGGGAATTCAGTCGCCATGGAGTGTTTCACTGGAGCGGATCGTGCTTTTTGTGTGCGCGCGTTTTATCAGAATAATGATTCGGCAACCATTGCGCGGCGTAAATATCGAGAATACCACAATTTACACAATTTTACAAAGTGTCCAACAGCTCAAACGATTAAGAACTGGGTTGCTAAGTTCGAAGAGACTGGTTCGACGTTAGATAAACAGCGGTGGAGTCGACCAAGGACAACTCGTATTGAAGAAAACATCAACATTGTGGCACAGTCTGTTCGTCAAAATCCTACCCAGTCTACTCGTAAGCGTTCCAGTGCACTAAACGTACCCAGAACATCTTTACAGCGGATTTTAAGGAAAGATTTACGTCTGCTCGCTTACAAAATTCAGTTAGTGCAGGAATTAAAAGATAATGACGCTATTCAGAGACTAAACTTTGCGAATGAAATGTTGAATCGATTTTCTTCGCTCAATAATGTGTTGTTCTCGGACGAGGCTCACTCCCATTTAAACGGGCATGTAAATAAACAAAATTGCCGTTATTGGTGCCCCGAAAATCCAAGGCGTAAGCATCAGAAGCCCTTACACAGCCCTAAAGTTACAGTTTGGGCTGCTATGTCAGCGCATGGCATCGTAGGCCCTTATTTTTTTGAGGACGACAGAGGTCGCGCATTAACTGTTACTTCGGAGCGGTATGTAGCAATGATAGAAGAGTTTTTGACACCAGCGTTGCAGAATTTTCCAGGCTATAATACGCAGACCTGGTTTCAACAGGACGGAGCAACTGCCCACACCTCCAACACTTCTATGCCCGTCGTCTGTCAACTTTTTCCCAGCAGAGTAATTTCTCGAAGAGGAAACATTTTCTGGCCACCACGTAGTCCAGATTTGACTCCAATGGACTTCTTTTTATGGGGCTACCTCAAGAGTAAAGTGTACGACACCACCCCGCGATCAGTTGATGTCCTGAAAGAAAATATCCGAAGAGAAATGGCAAGCATTACAGTGTTGACTTGCCGCGCAGTCATCGACAATTTTAGACGTCGTTTATATAAGTGCCGTGATATTTAAAACATAATTCCCATTCAATAAAGATGATAACAAAATATAATAATTCTTCATAATGTAACTAGTTTGGTTTTATTCCTTTTTTTCCAGCTCAAAGGACTTATGGGCCACCCTGTATAAGAGATAGATATTGTATTAACTTGGAGAAACACTAAGTGGACCCATCACGCCTAGGTCGCACTTGACGTAGGTGTGTGTGTCCATAAAATCCTGTCTGCAACTGCTGCTTAATCTCTTACTATGCCGCACTGCTCGAGCTGGTCAAAGTAGCATTGTGAACGTTTCCAGAAGGTTGATACTTTCAGTGAGGACAGAGAAGTTTCTTAATCGCAGCGTTAATAAATGGATAGGACTATGGACGAATTGTATGGGCCTGTTTAGCTCACTTGGTCGGTTTAGTTCTCTCTTTGTGTTATACATTTTCGTAGATAACTTTTTTTCTTATAATAATAACCATTTATGAAATAATAGTTGCGTTGCGTGGGAGATGCGTGGTCGGCCTACTTGATGTGCCATTTTTTAGGCTTTTACACTAATCTCAGACTATTTTTCTCTATATATCATAATCATGATACAGAACCGCAAATAAGTTTAAGATGTTTCAGAAATATGGAAAATATATAATATCTGATGAGTGGCTCAGAATAGCTTTATTTTCTGACCTTTTTCAGTCTTCAGGAAGATTGTCATTTTTTCGAACTGGAAAATGCATCTGACACAACGCTGGTGGAACAACAGAACCTTTATGCATCTTGATCCGTATTTTGTCACGAGAAAGAAATATATCGCAAGATTGTTGCACCTAGCAAAACCAAAGAACCTTGAACGTGCCTGAGTAGTTCATCCTGGAATTTATTGATAAACCTTGTCCACACATAAAGGTTCAAAAATGCTTAAGCAGTGCTTCTGAATTTCTTGATCGTACTTCTTTTTACTTCTTCATCAAGGAACGTAATAGATTCCAAATAATATAAATGTGTAGATCCAGCAACTTAGTTTTCAATTTATGAGCAGGAAATCGTCAATGCCAAGAAAGCATTTGTTTGACCTCCCTCCAAAGTACAGATTTCTATCAAGCTGCTAGAAAAAAAACTTGATGAAAATAAAAATTATTCCATAACTTATTGTGAAGTCAAACGTTGACTGGGGTATTTATGCAGACTGAAGTTTATGTTTGCGCGGTGGATCGTGGAAGTGCATAGCAAAAGTACCGGAGAAGTATTATGTTTCACTATCGGATTTTGTCTCTCAGAATACCAGGTTTCTTATCATCGTCTCATATAATACAGGTATCAGGATTACTTGGATCACAGAAGCTGTACAAGGTGATTCAGGAACCAGCGGCAGCGTTTCTAGGGCATGGGACAACCAAAGATATCCCGAGAAGTTCATATAAACATGGGTCCCAAAATGTTCCTTCACCAAGTTGTATGTTTTCAACGTCACGTCATGTGGATTAAAATACCGACTTTGAAATTCCCTACATGCATATAGTACCAATAGCATAGTCAGCACATGCAAACATTTTCGTACCTGGAAGTGGCGCAGAAATTGGGACAGAAGAAAGAAGATTATTTTTATACGATACTGCATTTTTGAACAAGTTGTTCAATTCCACATGGATCGCGTTTCCTGGTCAAGTCTTGTCATTCCGTTGTAATAAGTTTGATATCGAAGACTGTATGTAGTCCAAAGCAAAGATTTGTCGGGTTAGCGTGATTCGAACAATGTTAATGATTTATCTTTATTCAGTCATATCAGTGACGTAGAAATTTACAACTGCATATATTTTGGGGACCAGTGATTCTAGGGCCTATACTTGACAGTTTTTCTCTTTTTTTATGTACTTTCTCCTCTTGAGAGGTATTGCCTCATTTTTAGTTGTAGAGTAGACTTAGTATGAACATATCACACGTTGTTACAAATAAAAAGACGTAAATACTATCATCACTGCTTTTCCGCTGCACCCTTCTAACGTGATCCCGATACGGGATAGATTTGACTACAAGCATTAATTTGGCTCGAAATCCAATGACGTTCTGTCAGCCACACGATTATATATATATATAAGCCCATATACTATTTTTTAAGACCAATGCATGATGTTAGAGATTCTATCAACTCCATGGATTATTTTTTTGCCAAACAAGTCGATGCACACCAAAGGATCAATAGTCAGACATACAGGATAGTATACTTTAAGGACAAGTTGCAGGACCGAACTAAGGTATTCTCAATAGTCAAATTGCTAGTGATGTTTACAGAGTGTGAAACTTGATTGACTTTCTTGGCTTCGCTCCGGACGACACTTTGCTAAGCCAAATAAGATCCCAACATCGCTCCTTTAGATGATGCCATCTCGACGGCGTTTTTGCATCTTTGACGTGTTCCAGGATATCTGGCTAGCAGCACTGACAGCCACACATCATCGTTGACGCATACTGACCCATACTGAAGACGAAACATACATTCGCAAAAGTTCAACTCGTGTATTTTTTTAATCCTTATTAAATAATTATGGTAGGAAATCTGATGACGAATTTAATAACTTTGCTACCTAGTCTATTTACTGCATTAAGAAAATCCCCCGGAATTCTGTAAAGCGGCGAGTTCCGGAATCATCGCCGGCGCCCTATACAATTTCAGCACAAGCCAACAAGTAATCTGGTAAGAGTAAACTCATTTGGGACTGTTTTGAGTGGGGCTTTAGCAACTTCCATATACAGTCGTCCGTGGTTTCGACTAACTCCGCGATATCTTAGGTCTGGGTGATCACGTTGTGCCAACTTAGCGGTTGTACAAGTGTGCATCTGTAATTGCTTTTGGAATTATGAAATACTCCATACCAGATTGCCTTGAGTCCCATGTACCAGTCATGTTCATCATATACCTATCCATGTTAACGGTTAGAACTCCAGTAGGTACAACTTTGAGCATTCTATTGACACCTACCACATGTTTCACACATTTTTTGAGATTATGTTATTGAAACAAATACGTTGCTATGGTTTTTCTCCTATCTCCGTTACTATGAACCGGACGCTAAAGAATCCTAAAAAAATGAAATGCAGATTATTTTTATGAGTTGGACTAAATTTCGGATTTGCGCATCCTCAACAGCAAGTATTTTTAGTAAGCCACAACTTGAGATATTCAAAAAAATGGGCACCTGCGGGATCCGAACCCGCACTTCCTCCATTCCGTGGAGCCGAACTAACCAATTAGTCCA